CCAAAATTGGTTGGCGACCAAATTTGGAGGGGTCAGAACGGATTAACCATAATTACATTGAACCCTATGGGAAAATTTGATTCGGGTCACAACCAAAATTGGTTGGCGACCAAATTTGGAGGGGTCAGAACGGATTAACCGTATTTACATTGAACCTTATGGGAAAATTTGATTCGGGTCACAACCAAAATTGGTTGGCGACCAAATTTGGAGGGGTCAGAACGGATTAACCGTATTTACATTGAACCTTATGGGAAAATTTGATTCGGGTCACAACCAAAATTGGTTGGCGACCAAATTTGGAGGGGTCAGAACGGATTAACCGTATTTACATTGAACCTTATGGGAAAATTTGATTCGGGTCGCGACCAATTCGGGTCGTGACCAGAGTTGCGGAACGAATTAAGTTCGTGAACCAAGGTATCACTGTACAATACTAATGAAACAATAAGCCACAGATTACACTCACAGTCTTTCTCTACAGATCCATTTTCCTAAAACTGAGGCCTTCCAGATACGTTAAGATTTCATTCTCAGGGCATGGCTGGCCAAGCATGATCCACTGCCAGTATCACCCCAGCCAACTTAAGAAAGTAGCCTTAGACCAAGACATCCAACCTGGTTAATCTATAAGCTGCTCTATGTTTCATAACTGTAAAGCACTTACAGACAGCTTTTTTAAAACCTGAAATATTAGTGACAAGATTCCTGTAACAAGTGGCTTTCTCTCCAATTAAATAATTGTTGCATCTAGTTCAGTGCTGCAGCTCTCTCGGATTTCAGAAAGAGTCTTTCACAGCTCAACCTAGAGATAACATGGATATAACCTGTGCCCTTTATATGCAAAGCATGTACTCTAACACTGAGCTACAACCCTTCTACTTGATGCATTAATGGAACCTGATGGATTTCAGACCTCATTGTGGATGAGATACATTTGGAAGTAGCATTCACCACATATAAATGGCAATTCTAAGTCACACTTTGCTAGCCTACTATATAAAACATAACTAAAATAGAACAATGGATTCAAACGTACAAAATCGCAGTACACAGTTTCATGCAATTTTAACTCTGACTGATGGAATTCTCACTCATTTAAAAAGTAGTAAAGGCCGCAGAGGTTGTACAGATCATTTGGCAAGGTGTGCTCACAACACCTATTTTGATATGCATATTAGTCCAGCATCATTTCATGCTTAGCTATAGGACACTAAATAGAGGCATGCACAGTGTTTCACATTTTAAATGGGCTATTTTGGCCTTACAGCAACAGTTCCAAAGCTGTTCTGACTTTACCAGAAGTTTCTGAAATCAGAATATTTCTGGTGCTAGACAGAACAGTCCATTTTAGCTTGAAAATTTCAAATTTGAAACTTTTTGCATACACTACTGGCATCAAGTCAATGCAAATTACAATACGCATTTCATCCTTTGTAGGCCTACTACAATACCCTGGATAATGTTATGGAGAAATAGTAAAAAAAAGTATTCTTATACACAATTTGGAGAAAACAGACAGCAGAAAATAATTAATCTGATCCCTTACCTCCCACTGTAAATGTGGAGGAATATTCCGGATTTGAATCTTCCTGCTTCTGTGAAGAAAAAGTCCACAAAGCAAGACCAGATTAGTATAGTACAACAGAAGATGGTTCGTCTAGTGTTACATAAAATACTAGCAACTCTATTACAAATGAATGCAATGAGCCAAACTAAGATAACACGGGAATACCTCATGCATTTGGTTCCTGCAAAGCACCTGTCACCTCTAGTTTTTTTATCACAACCAGACAAAAATAGAACTGGCCCAGAATGTAATTTCTGCATCTTTCTCCCTCTCCTTGATTAAGAAATATATGCAACATGCAATACATTTTGGAATTATAAGTAATCCATTCTTACCATGTAACGTAGATCAACATAAAAATATATAATCCAAGAAGCAAAATCAATACATTTTATTGACATTTAATAAAATGGGTTTTGCTCAGATGCACAGTCTAAAATGCAGGAGGCATTCATGTGTGACTGTACAGTATTTATTAACACCTTCTACAGACATATAGCATCGTACTACGCTACTCTTTGGCCGTATTAAAGTTTACGTTTCAAACATATCTACACATAATAAAGTCCCATTCAGTTCAGTAAAACATGTTTCCAGATAAATGCATGGTAGACTGCAGCTTTAATGATCCTGGCCCAAGCTGGATGAAAAAACAGAGATAAAATTCATTTTCCTTCATTAACAGCTGAATGTTATTTTAACCAAGAAGAAGCTGGGTAGATTATAATCTTTATTTACAAAAAAATGTGCTGCACTATGGAAATTACTCCAGAATATAACAGTAGATCTCAATTCTGAGCAATTTTAAATTACAGAGGATTTAAATCTGAATTGTCCATTTTGGTTTGCACTTAAATGAACCAGTAAGATAAACTGACAAGAAAGCTAAAACAAATCTCAGTTATCAGCAAAGTTTAAAAAAAGCCTGGACGCTACTTAATCTTTTTCTCAGGGAAGAGTAGTTACCTCACTCTTGCATTTCAGACGACATAGTTGCTATTCCCTGGAATTCTCTGGTTATTAAATTTTAAAAAGAAATATGTTGGGTTTTTCTTTTATATTCTGTAAACTATGAATAATTTTAATAGCTGATTTTAATTGCATTAATTTTCTTTCTGTTTCAGACTTTTTATTGTTGTAAGCTATCTTGAGTGTGGGAAAACCCCCCCAGAAATATGGATTATCAATCCAATGATAAATATTATGTAAGTGAAGCATGGGAGTTGTGATTCACAGGTGTGAGTCACTGCCCCTCAGTGGCGAAGGATATGTAGCAGGCAGAGGAGGAGACACAGTGGCACAATGTCCAGGGTGGGAATTGTTTCATCTTTGGTTTGCCTCTTCTGGTTTTCTGTGCAATGCTATCTTTTGCTCTGGCTCTATGTTAATGTGAGCTAACTCTATGACTCAATGATTTCAAGAACTCTTGAACAGGCAGCAAAAAACGATATTGTTTAAGTACAGAAACATTAAACCTCAGGAGGGTTTCGTGTATGACAAATTTCCTACAGAAGCGTGGGAAAATTGTATTTGCCTATGAACACTTCCATGTGGCAATACATAAATACTCAGATTTGGAAACTACATTTTGTAGTACATCCAGAAAAACAAAGACACAGTAATGTCTATCAAATAGATAGATAGATACATGGATGGAGGTGGTTAGGTTTAAGGCCACAGCTTCCTCCAAAATTCAATATACTGTGGTTTATCTGCAATTTAAAGCCCTTTTGTTGGAGTTACATCTAGTCAGGTTAATATGAAAGAGTGGCGGATGGAATATTACAAAGAAAAATCTCTCTCTCGCTTTCCCTCTCTCTCTTCATATATACCTATCATATTATTCCCTTTTGGAGCAAACAATATTATGCAAAGCTCAAAAAGAGAGAGAGAAGTAATGGGCAACAGAAATTAAAGATAGGCAATAAAATTATTAAAAAAAAGGGAAATCTAATTTACATTGACACAATTACTTATATCTAACCATAACTATGTATCTTTCCACAGCACCCTTGCCTCCTCTGACTTCATATGCAGCTTCATACGTTTTCTTTTGTTTCTTCCTGAGAATTTCATCAACTTCATCCAAACACAACTTGCTTGGTTTTCCCCTTCCTCTTGATCCATTCATTCATCCTTCATATATTTGTTTTGTGTTTGCTCCTTCTTTCTACCTGACCAAACTACTTCAATGTACTTTCACACTGGTCACTCACTTTTGCATTAAGTCCACATTCATTCAGCCCCCATGTATTTTTGATCCTGCCTTTCCTTGCTCAATCATACTCACTGCTTAAGTAGCCAATTCCCATTGCATTCACTTAGTTTTATGTTTATGCATATTAACTCTCACTCCCACCTAACAAGGTGAGCAGAAGTATGCTCTTATACACAGCTATTTCTGCTTATTTCAACATTATTGCTCACAACAAAATGTGTGTTACCTATTTTACTGCCAACATTTGCATGTCTTAAAATGTCTCAATTTTCCTATTTTGGGAAACGTTCTGCCAAGCTATACACATTCATCTTCTTATTCTAATTTTTCACCATATAGTATAACTCGCAATCATTTACTCCATTTTCCCTGTCAAACTACTTTGTTCTTTGAAACAGTAATTTTCAGATCCATGTTCCTCATTGCCTCATACAATCCATTTAATATTAACTTCAAATTAGGGTTCTCAGCCAACAGCACAGCATCACCTGCATACAAAATGCACATACACTGAAATCACTAATATACCTCTAACACCATCATAAGCATTCCTTACACATTAAAAAACCAAACAGATCTCACACTTCCTTGTCTTACTCTCTTGCTCAGTGTTGAACCATTCACTATGCATTCAATTTATTCTCACGCATGTTTTACTTCCAATATATGCTATTCTATTTGCATTCAACAACCAGTTTGCAACTATATATTCATGCAAAACATTCCATAATTCAAGCCTATTCACTTTATCATATACTATCTTTAAGTGAATAAACATGCAGTAAGCTTTTTTTCTCACATTCACTCATTTCCGAATGACCTTCTGAAAAGCAAAAATTTGGTCTGCGCATCGCTTACCCAATATAACTGTGCTTCACCACTTTTGGTCATTGTCACCTCATGTACCTTTTCAATCAGATTTCTGCCAAACACTTTCTCAGAAATGCTTAACTAATCTCCCTTTTTGCATTCACCCATTATCTTTCCCTTTCTATAAGGGAAAAATAATGGCATTTTTCCAACTGTCAGGCCATAACCCATGCCATGATAACAGCTCAGCAAAACTGGTTAACTCCTGGTTCATTCTTCAATAGGAATCTTTCTCTCTTCTAGAGAGCTATGGGAAAGTAGATTTCCAGTCCAATGAAATCTCATTTTTAGAACGGTCATATTTCTTATTTGCACTTATCTTTTTGGGTTGTTTGTAAAATCACAGTTCTACTTATCACATATGGGCTGTTGCCTGTGTTCTGGTGTCATTCACTATTGTTAATTTTCTGAATTTTTATACTTACACTCCTACTTTATTTTCATGTGTAGGCTTCAATGAACTATATTTCAGTCATTGATCCATTTCTGCAAGCCAGTTAACTGGTGATAAGAATCTAGCCAGCTGACTGGTGGTGAACAAAGGGAGGTTACAGTGGACCACGTGGTGGACCTCTTGGAGCCACAATTTGAGAATCATTGCCGTATGACCACTTTCTATTAATTCAGGGAATTAATTTATTTTCTAATATTTTTTCATACAAAACATGTACCTTCTCTTCCAACACTTGTTTCATTTTCACTCTTATTTCAAGATCCACTCTTGACATTACCAAAAAGTGACCAGCCTTACTCAGTTTTTATCACCTTTGCATTCTTCACTAATTCTCTTAATCTTTCATCATAAGCAATCAAATCAATCATGCTTTTAGTTTTGCCATGTGTAAGCATGAATAGACATGCTTAAACCACATACTGTGATGGAATGGAATTATGAAGGCCACACTCAGGGAGGGAAACATCCTCTTTCGTCTCCTGAGGGGCGAGGAAGAGATAAGAGGATGAGGCTGGCACCTCCCTGAGAAATTCACTCTGTTTTCACTGGCTGACTGTGGGAACTAAGTTTCAGACTGGGAAGATACTTGCTAGAGATCGGAGCTATTAAACATTGCTGCACTGAATCTGCATGCTGGCACCTCCCTGAGAAATTCACTCTGTTTTCACTGGCTGACTGTGGGAACTAAGTTTCAGACTGGGAAGATACTTGCTAGAGATCGGAGCTATTAAACATTGCTGCACTGAATCTGCATGGTCTCCTGGAGTTCCTTGGGCTAGGCCTGACACATACTGAAACAAACAGATCTTTTCCTAAGCAGATACTCACCAAATAGTCACAATGCTGATTCATTCTTAGGTCTCTGAATGGTTGAATCACTTTTTAAGTACTTCTTTGTTTCATTCCCATCCATCCATTCATATCACCCACATACGTTTTCTCCCAGAACACATTCATTCAGAATGCTGCAGTTTTCCCCAAACTCATCCCTGAATCTTTCATTTTCATCATTTACTGAAGCATAATACATCATTCTTATTAACCTATGAACTTTCATACACACCCACAATTTAGATGACAGCAATTCATACTCTGACATACATTTTAGACCTTTAATTTGTAATAAAACCTTCACTGTCACTTCCATACATGTATTCACTTCCATACATGTATTCAAATATATCCAAACAGGAAATGTCACACACACTAATTTGCATATGATAAAACAACACATAGTAGGCCTTGGGTTACCACCACACACAGAAGCAGCAATGTATGATTTATGTACCTTAGCTCAAGCTTCTAAGGCTTTGTCACTCAAGGAACTTCTCTCTTATTAGTACTTCAGATATTTTCATTTTCATAAGAAGCTTCTTTGTGAAAGCTTCTATTAGTGTTTTCCCTTATGCACTTCAGCAGAGGACTCACTTGCATGAGCCAAAACAGAGGCAAAGTGGGACAAGCATCTGAGGGGAGCATTCTGCAA